AGTGAGACTCCGTCTCAAAAAAAAAAAAAAAAAATGCAAGGTAATGAATTTGGGATAAATAATTCACAATCAAGAGCTCTGACCACTTTGATTCAAAAAGAACATGAGGGACATTAAATATGGTTCTCCCTGGAAATGTTGGTCCAGTGTACTGATGTGGGCCAAGAGCGCCAACCAAATCCAAGTGGGGCTTTGTCAGGAACGGTGTTGGAAACTCTGAACTAGATAAATAATTCAGAGGATATTAGCTAAACTGATCAGGGGCCAGCACAGGAAGGTACTGTTATAAACGAAGAGAATAAAAGGGCTAACTGAAATAATAGATCCAGGAATAGCACAGACACTGACCTCTCACCACAGACCAGAAGTTAGGGTCTACTTGTATTTCTTAGAAATACAAAGAAAACGAGTTTAGAATTATAGAAAACACTGTTAACACATTAGCCTGGGAGGTGGTACTGGCACTGAATACACACATACCCATAAAGTCGGATATGTTTATTAATCCCAGAGTTGAATGATAAAAAGCTGATTAAAGAAAAGGTAGGCTACATGAGGCAGCCACACCCTCCCAAAACATGTCCCCAGAGACTAGCTGGCCTCCTTAAGGCTATAGTCTGTGCACAGTTAGGAGTTACTCTCCATCCTATAATACTCAGGATGGCTCTCAGCTGGCTGATTGGAGCTAACACAGAATAGGATCACACAGATTCTGATACGGTCCCCTTTTGTGTTGTTGAAATATATATGGAAAGCAAAACCAGGTATTTTTTTCTTTTTCGGGGGAGGTGGGTGCAGATGAGGGTGGGCAGGGCACTGTATAGGGAGGAAAAAAATACTGATGTTGATAGATAATGGGATTGCAATAGTAGGCTTACTTTACCATTTAAGAGGAAAATGTAAATATTCAACAGAATGAGGCACTCAAAGGGTTGAAATGATATTTTTCTTTGGTTCTCAGGGGCCTATCCCTGGGCTCTCAAAGACGAAGTTCCAAATCTATACTTTTTGGCTCACAGGGCTCTCTGTGATGCTCTGGTGCCAGCTGTGTATTCGAGTGGTTAGGCAGCAGTTCACATTAGATGTGTAAAATTAATTAAATCTAAATCTCTTGGCTCAAGTCCAGGATGTCCCCAGACTAGCTCAGAAGCTAAGTCCTCTCTCCTCCCCTTAAAAAGGCTGTTGGCAAATGCAGGCCTCCAAGGTAGTGCGTGGCCTCAATGGGAGATGCCCAGAGACTGCAACAGGTGAAAGGTGGCCCCCAAGGCCCATCCTGTCTCTATGTTGTTCACTTTCTTTGTGAGCTGTTGAGAAGAAAAAAAGTCTTCACATTTTCATCCAATTTCCAACTCTCGCAAGCATAGCTCTTGGGCAGACAACATTGACAAAGAATAACCACATGGGCAAACCAAGGTAAAATTGACAGGAGCCAGTCTTTGCAGGCTTCCCACTATAACAGTTTCCCTCCGGCCATGGTCCATTGGCCATTGCCCCTACATCCGCCATTCTGATCTCTCAACTGAATGCTTCTGGCCCAGGTCATGGCCCTCCAGGCCTTCTAGAGAGATACTTTAGACAGACAATATTCTGAACTGTTTTCTTAACCTTGAAACTACACAAAGTATCCCCTGCTTTATTTTCTGATTCACTAATTTCAGATAAGACAACTTGTAATGGTAATAGATGTGGTAGAAAGGGAGGGCATGATCAGGAGGTGAGAAGAGATTTAGGAGTAGGAAAGAACAAAGCTTCTCAACTCCTACTATGTAAGCAGGTGCCTTTTCTAAGCACTAATAATAACCAAACCTGGGCCCACGCACAGTGGCTTATGCCTGTACTACCAAGCACTTTGGGAGGCCAAGGCAGGTAGAGTGCTTGAGCCCAGGAGTTCAAGACCAGCCTGGGCAACATGGCAAAACCCCATCTCTACAAAAAAATTACCCAGGACTTGTGGCACACACCTGTAGTCCCCGCTACTCGGTGAGCTGAGGTAGAAGGGTCGCTTGAGCCCCAGAGGCAGAGGTTGCAGTGGGCTGAGATCATGTCACTGCACTCCAGCCTGGGTGACAGGGTAAGACCCTGTCTCCAAAAAAAAAAAAAAAAAAAGACCAAGAGCAGTGGCTCATGTCTATAATCCCTGCACTTTGGGAGGCCGGGTGGATTGCCTGAGATCAGGAGTTGGAGGCCAGCCTGACCAACATTGTGAAACCCATCTCCACTAAAAATACAAAATTAGCCAGGCGTGGTGGCACATGCCTGTAATCCCAGCTACTTGGGAGGCTGAAGCAGAAGAATCACTTGGACCCAGGAGGTGGAGGTTGCAGTGAGCTGAGATCGCACCATTGCACTCCAGCCTGGGCAACAAGAGCAAAACTGTGTCAAAAGAAAAGAAAAAAAAATAACCAAACAGGACATTTAAGACATTCTAAGCCTTATGCAAAACTTTAGACCCAAATACCTTAACTATGTAAGAAGAGGGGCTGGGCGTGGTGGCTCATGCCTGTAATCCAGCACTTTGGGAGGCTGAGGCAGGTGGATCGTGAGGTCAGGAGTTTGAGACCAGCTTGGCCAACATAATGAAACCCCATCTCTACTTAAAAAAATTCAAAAATTAGCTGGCGTGGTGGCATGTGTCTGTAATCCCAGCTACTCAGGAGGCTGAGGTAGGAGAATTGCTTGAACCTGGGAGGCAGAGGTTGCAGTGAGCCGAGATTGCACCACTGCACTCTAGCCTGAGTGACAAGAGCGAGACTCCCTCTCCCCACCAAAAAAAAAAAAAAAAAAAGAGGATTAGTGTTTATCAATTTTTAGTGGTTTCTTGGAAATGCCTCAAAGGAAAAAGGGAGGCCAAGTGATAGAGGAGTTTCAGGCCTCTAATCTCTGCTTCAATTAGAATAGCTCTACTTTTACCAGTTTTGTATTACGAATTTTTGTGGTTTTTTTGAGATGAAATTTCACTCTTTGTTGCCAGGCTGGAGTGCAGTGGCGTGATCTCGGCTCACTGCAATCTCCACCTTCCGGGTTCAAGTGATTCTCCTGTCTCAGCCTCCTGAGTAGCTGGGATTACAGGCACCCGCCACCATGCCCAGGTGATTTTTATATTTTTAGTAGAGACAGGATTTCACCATATTGGCCAGGCTGGTCTCGAACTCCTGACCTCAGGTGATCCCCCTGCCTTGGCCTCCCAAAGTGCTGGGATTACAGGCGTCAGCCACCAGGCCCAGCCGTATTACTGATACTCTACATAAGCTTTTGTTGAATAAAGGTCCCACCATCATCAAAAAAAGTTTGTAAACCAGTGGATTGTTCTGTTAACCTAATATAATTGAGCCTAATCACTGTGCCCAAAACTGGGGATAAATAACTTACTACAGATAAAGCAGAGCCTGCATGTACTCAAACAGATGGAGAGAAACAGGACAGAGACCTAAGATTCAAGAGGCACTAAATATATGAGGCACACATGAAATATACGACACATGACATATGCATGAGGCATTCAGTATTCATGAGGCCTTAAATAAGCCACTCACTGGTGACACCCTTTTGGTCCCTCACGTCCTCTGCCAAAAAAAACCCATCTTACAGTCTGAGCTAATGCTACTGGCCAGGTATGTCTGCCCCCTGGGGCCTCTCCAAATAGGGCAAGTTTGTGTGGGAGCCTCAGGCACCTTTTGTCTTTGTGCTCCCATGAGCAAACTACATCTCTAGTACCTGTAACGACTCCAGCAGCAGCAGAGATAGGCAGGACATACCAACCCAGGACAAACGGAACCCAGGATTCAAAAAGCAGGGCACTCCATCCTGCTTACACCATGTCTTGTGTGTTTACCTCTCCATCTCTTTCCCCTTGCCTCTCATCCTGAGTTCTAAATTGTTTTAATAAACCATGTAGGCCAGGCATGGTGGTTTACGCCTGCGATCCCAACACTTGGGAGGCCAAGGCAGGCAGATCACCTGAGGTCAGTAGTTCAAGACCAGCCTGGCCCACATGGTGAAATCCCATCTCTACTAAAAATATAAAAAAAAATTAGCTGGGCATGGTGGCGCATGCCTATAATCCCAGCTACTTGGGAGGCTGAGGCAGGAGAATCGCTTGAACCCAGGAGGCAAAGGTAGTGAGCCGAGATCATGCCATTGCACTCCAGCCTGAGCAACAAGAGACTCCGTCTCAAAAAAATAAATATATCAACCATGTGACTTGGCATCTAAATTTCGGCTCCTAGTCTTTCTGTTCTGTGACCTCTGAGATAGCTTGCCTGGTAATATACTCGGAGGCTACCACTACATGGAGGTAATTTCCCACATTCCTGGTGCCCAGCACAGTACTTTGTCCATAGCCCAAACAAAAATACCTTATAATTTCACATCCAGCTACTCTGATTACTGAACAAGTTCTTACTCCTTCTCAACCCCCACAAAAGAAGAAGTTATGGGACTCTGGTGTCCTGTCTCTTACCTGTAAGACTGTGCTATCTGTAAAACCAAAGCCAGCCTTTAACAGGGCTGTGATGTAGCTGAGATCCATGCACAGGAAAGGACTGCCTGAGGTGAAGTCTTCCAAGTTATCACACACTGAAAAAGTGACAGTAAACAGTGGAGTTCAAGTTTGCAACTAACTGAGAAGTGTAGGATTTTCTCTGAGAAGTATAATAAGCAGGCTTGGGCGCAGTGGCTCATGCCTGTAATCCCACCACTTTGGGAGGCCAAGGTAGGCAGATCAGTTGAGGCCAGGAGTTTGAGACCAGCCTGGCCAACATGGTGAAACCCCCATGTCTACTAAAAATACAAAAATTAGCCGGGCATGGTGATGTGCACCTGTAATTCTAGCTACTCAGGACGCTGAGGCAGGAGAATCACTTGAACCCGGGAGGCAGAGGTTGCAGTGAGCTGAGATTGCACCCCTGTACTCCAGCCAGGGTGACAGAGCAAGACCGTCTCAGAAAGAGAAGATGGGAGGGAAGAAGTAGAATAAGTAACGCAGAAGTCTCCCTTTGGGTAACGCCTAGGCATTCAGAGACTAGACTGCACTGCCTGCCTCTGGAAGACTGTAGCTTCTTAAGAACTTGCACATCTCTGCTTTGATTATCTATTCAAATTTACATGGGCTCTAGTTTATTTGCTTAAGTTTCTATGACCTATTGTGGGGGCTTAGTTCTAAGTCCCTTATCTATGATTAATGCTGAGGCCCAGAAGACAGGAAAATATTATTTAACCCTATTATGGGCTACTGGATAAGATCATTTGCATTTTATTTTTTAATTTTTAAAAATTTATTAATTTTTTTTTTTTTTAGAGAGAAGGTCTCATGCTGTCACCCAGGCTGGAGTGCAATGGCATGATCACAGCTCCTTGCAGCCTCAAGACCCTGGGTTCACACGATCCTCCTGCCTCAGCCTCCCAATTGGCCGAGACTACAGGCTCGAGCCACTGTGCCTACCTCTCATTTGTAGTTTTGACTGAGTCTCTCAAGGAAGCCTCTGTTGCTATTTCCCATGTCTTTTGATGCTTAGTGTTTCATTAATACTGATAACACTATTTCAATTAAAAAAAGAAAGCAAGAAATGTAGAAGGTCTTCACCATTTCCCTAAAGCTTCTTTTTTTTTTCTTTTTTGAGTTGGAGTCTCGCTCTGTTGCCCAGGCTGGAGTGCAGTGGTGTGATCTTGGCTCACTACAATTTCTTGAACCTCCCAGGTTCAAGCAATTCTCCTGACTCAGCCTCCCAAGTAGCTGGGACTACAGGTGCGCACCACCATGCCCCGCTAATTTTTGTATTTTTAGTAGAGATAGTGTTTCACCATGTTGGCCAGGATGGCCTCAATCGCTTGACCTCATGATCTGCCAGCTTCGGCCTCCCAAAGTCCTGGGATTACAGGCGTGAGCCACCGCACCTGGCTGAAACCAGTCTTCTGACACGCCTTCTGAGCTGACTGAGGTGCTTTTGGTCACTAGAGTTGGCAGGCAGTCTCATAGGCTTGCCTTCAAGGGCTTCCCTCGATACTCACCTTCCCTGGCTTTTCTTTCAAAATCTTCAACTGTTAAAATACCCCCTTTTTCATAATCTGAAATAAAACAGAACATTAGCTGATATCAAAATACCTTCAAGGAAGCATAAGGAAATTAATTCATTATATACATGTACATAATGTAATCTATGCACCCTATTTTATTTGTAATCTATTTCATGTTATGTATATTTAACCACAATGAAAAAAACCCATAAAACACAATTGGCAATTAATTCATATCTCTCAGGCCATGACATATCATATACATATACTGTCACAATTAAGAAAAAATACTACTTTTGTGATAAGAAGAAAAGTGATCATAAACAGACAGCAAGAAATCTGGGGTGATATGTTTATTATTTTCAATGTAGTGATGGATTCATGGGTATATACAAGACAAAACAAATTGTATACTGTAAATGTACACTTATTCTATGCCAATTATACCTCAATAAGCATGTTAAAAAGAAAAAAGACCTCATATAGTTGTTTCAGTCATCTCTCACCTCCAAAAGATTCTAAGTCACTTCCACCCTTTTGTTCGAGTGTACTTGAGAAGAAGTGGGCAATCACCCCAACAAGCACCTCAAGTGCTCTTTCTCCTTGACCTTCCCCACCACAGCCCTGTCTACCTTCCTCTTTGGACTGACACCTGGGGTGAACTCACCAATCATGTCTGTGTCAACAGCTCGGTCATAATAGTAAGAGAAAGCATAGAAGGAGCTTCTCTGGACCTCCTCTGGCTGATGAAGTTTTCCTTGTACCACCCTCAGCACTTCGGCATAGCAGGGCTCAAAGCCCACCTCCCCTGCCAGGCAAAGGTGCACAGGGGCAAGGTGAGAACAGTGCTGGGGGAAGGGGACGCTCTCTGAGGTGAGCTGCTGGAAACAATGAGGGAACAGCAGAAGGGTCAAAGAAAGCAGGAGAAGGCTGAGGTTCCGGACAAGAGGCTTCAAAACAAAGATGAGCAACGTCTGCAGCCTCATGGCTCTGCTTCTCCATGGCCACTCTCCTGCCTAATCTGTATTCACTAAACCATGGCCAACCTCGTGCTACTGCCTAGCATTACATTCCTTAGCATTTATAAACAAGTAGCTAAAGGGCTCGCCTGCTTCCTTCACTGGAAATTCAAGTTCATTTCTTTTTGTTTTGTTTTGTTTTTTTGAGATGGAGTTTTGCTCTTGTTACCCAGGCTGGAGTGCAATGGTGCAATCTCGGCTCACTGCAACCTCTGCCTCTTGGGTTCAAGCAATTCTCCTGCCTCAGCCTCCCGAGTAGCTGGGACTACAGGCATGCGCCACCATGCCCAGCTAATTTTTTTTGTATTTTTAGTAGAGACAGGGTTTCACCATGTTGACCAGGATGGTTTCGATCTCTTGACCTCATGATCCACCTGCCTCAGCCTCCCAAAGTGCTGGGATTATAGGCGTGAGCCACCGCACCCAGCCTCATTTCTTGATATTATGGTGTATACCTTCAATAAATCATTTTTTTTTTTTTTTTTTTTTTTTTTTGACGGAGTTTCGCTCGTTACCCAGGCTGGAGTGCAAATGGCGCGATCTCGGCTCACCGCAACCTCCGCCTCCTGGGTTCAGGCAATTCTCCTGCCTCAGCCTCCTGAGTAGCTGGGATTACAGGCACGCACCACCATGCCCAGCTAATTTTTTGTAGTTTTAGTAGAGACGGGGTTTCACCATGTTGACCAGGATGGTCTCGATCTCTTGACCTTGTGATCCACCCGCCTTGGCCTCCCAAAGTGCTGGGATTACAGGCTTGAGCCACCGCGCCCGGCCAATAAATCATTCTTATCTCAGTTTTAAGTTTTACTATACTTTAAATAGTTAACCATTAACTAAATAGGATTTCACACTGCTGCATTAGACCTAGGCTTAGAATAGGTTTCTTTTTTTTTTTGAGACAGAATCTCACTCTGTCACCAGGGTGGAGTGCAGTGGCACGATCTTGGTTCCTGCAACCTCCACCTCCCAGGTTCAAGCGATTCTCGTGCCTAAGCCTCCTGAGTAGCTGGAACAAGCACGTGCCACCATGCCCAGCTAATTTTTGTATTTTTTAGTAGAGATGGGGTTTCACCATGTTGGCCAGGATGGTCTCCATCTCTTGAACTCATGATCTGCCCACCTCGGTCCCCAAAAGTACTGGGATTATAGGTGTGAGTCACCACACCCAGCTAAAATAGGTTTCTTAATTAATTTGTAAGAGGTGGGGTCTCCCTCTGTTGCCCAGGCTGGAGTGCAGTGGCATTGCACACTATAGCCTTGAACTCATGGGCTCAAGTGATCCTCTTGCCTCAACCTTTGAGTAGTTGGGACTATAGATGTGCACCATAGCACTTGGCTAAGTGCAAGTTATCTAATGGGTCCATGACACTTGGCTGATGCAGAATGACAGCTGCCTTGTTTGCTGTCACTTCACATTAGTCCTTGGAGGCATACCAAGATCTTTGGAACAAGTCCCTGCAACAAGATATGCTTCTCTTGAGCTCTGGAAAAAGTTTCCTGTGGCACTTTTCCAGAACTTCCATTGTAAAGGTAACTTTAGTGAAAAAACATCACTTGCCTTCTTGGTTGCCACCATACTGGTATTTCACACCCCCAAAGATCCACTCTGCTTCCAACCATCTCGGTAGACAGGCACTCCGGAAAGTGTGTCCATCAGTCCCTGAAGGAATCCAGGGCACAAGGTAAGAGGTAAGTAAGTCAGAGAGAGGGAGGAAGGCAAGCAAAAAGCCAGTGAGGAGAAAAAGAATCACCATGGCGGCTGGGCCTTAAAATCTTATGAAATTCATTCCTTGACCACATCCTGTGTCAGAAATCCTTAACTCAGGATTCACAGATAGGCTTTGTGGGGGTGGTGAACCCCCTGAAACCAGAAGCAAATTTTCATGCACATGTGCTTTTGCCAAAGGGGTCCGTGGATTTCATTACATCTCAAAGAGATCCAAAACCTACAACAGAGTAAGTTCCCACACCTTTCTAAAAACAGGAAAGAAATGCTATGCTACCTTCCTCACTGGTTACTGAGAGGCTTAAATGAAATACACTTGAAGATGTTTTGTAAACTCCGAAATGCAAAATAGATGTCATTCCAATAATAGCTTACTGTACAAACTGCCTTAAATGCAAATTCTCATTTAATGTGAGGCAAGGGACACAGATAGGTTTAACTAATGTGCCTCAAATGACAACACTGGGACTGAACCCAGTTCTGCCTGAGTGCAGCTGTGAAGACATGGACTTACTCAGTTGTTCCACCTGCATGTAGAAGAGACCCTGCTTCCTGTGCCTCCAACGTAAAAGCTCAGGGCTTGAGCAAGCTCCTGCCAAATGTATTCTTAAAGCCTGGGATTTCTGCAGACACTTCAGCCTCCTAGACATAGGCTGTTCCCCTGTACAAGTAGACTTCATTCTAAAAATGGCTAATAATATACACCAAAACTTCTAAACTTATAAAATAGAAAAGGAATTTGCTGTTATTAGGTCCATTATATAACATTTGCTTCCTGATTCAGGATAAGCTTTTCCTCCACAGAATGGCTATCAAGGAAGGGAAGAAGCAAGCAGAGTTATCTGTGTCACCCTCACCATCCCCCACCTGGCACAGGTACCCAGACAAACCTGTCTCCAGGGCTCCCAGGGTTGCAAGTCTTGCAGCTTTCAATCCAAATCCCAAGTAACTGTAAAATACAGGATTGGCCAATTTCATGCTGGTCCTGAAGTTCTCTAGCCTAAAGCTACCTCTTTCAAAAGTAACATGGTTTCCGTTTCCCTCTGGAAAGATGAAAACCTTGTTCTGTCTCTGTGACATATTCATCTCCTGTGGTGAACAAGGGGTAACTTCTGCACAGTTTGGATGAAGGCTATGCAGAAAGAATTCCCCATAGTTATTATTCAAAGGCCAGAGACACTGACAATTCCTAGGGTCCCACACTAGGAACCATTCCCAGAAAAGCTCTCTTTAGCTTAGTTCCCAGTCCCAATTGGGATCAAATTCCAGGCTGTATTCTGAACATCGGAAAGCTAGCTCAAAGGAGCTGGGGAGGACCTTTGCCTGGGCCTTCTTTAAGTGTCCTCTCCCTAGACAATTTTGAGATGGAGTTTTGCTCTTTTGCTCAGGCTGGAGTTAAATGGTGAAATTTCAGCTCACTGCAACTTCTACCCCCTGGGTTCAAGTGATTCTCCTGCCTCGGCCTCCTCAGTAGCTGGGATTACAGGTGTGTGCCACCACACCCAGCTAACCTTTGTATTTTTAGCAAAGACAGGGTTTTACCATGTTGGCCAGGCTGGTCCTAAACTCTTGACCTTGGGTGACCCAACCGGCTTGGCCTCCCAAAGTGCTAGCATTATAGGCATGAGCCACTGTGCCTGGTCTAGAGAAAACTTTTGACCTTTTTTTTTTTTTTTTTCATACTAGTCTTGCTCTTTCGCCCTGGCTGGAGGGCAGTGGCATAATCTTGGCTCACTGAAACCTCCACCTCCCGGGTACAAACGATTCTCCTGCCTCGGCTTCCTGAGAAGCTGGGATTACAGGTGCACACTCATATCCAGCCAATTTTCGCGTGTTTAGTAGAGAGGGGGTTTCACCATGTTGGCCAGGCTGGTCCAAACTCCTGACCTCAGGTAATCCACTTGTCTTGGCCTCCCAAAGTGCTGGGATTACAGAAATGAAGCCACTGCACCCAGCCAAAAACTTTTGACTCTTAAGTCATATATTTTAAGGCCAAGAATGGAGAAGGCTTAGGTTCCTTGGGCCTTGTAAGTAGCTTGGGTTTCAGTTGATAGGCCTTAGGGAATTGGCAAAGACTTTGTTTTTGCTGATCAAATACAATAACAGACTTGAGAATGCTTTGAAAAATCAGGAGAATCATACAACATGAAATATTATTCTTCCCTGCCCCCTCCTCACCTATGTGTATAGAGCTTATAGGTGCTGTTAAACATCTCAAAGGAGGTGAGGTAGCCCTTAGGAGTTTGTTCCAGAGTTTTCTGCAAATCAGAAAAAGCAAAAAGACTATTCAGAATCTGTAATTACCTGAAGATGTTCACACCACCATCCCGTCCCTCCCAGTAAAAAATCAGAGACGAAGACAGATTAAGCTGCTAATCTCACTAGGCTTGAGGAACTGAAGGGATTAACGGTGAGATGGCAAGGGAATGTTCACCCAGTTATTAACTGACTCTGCCTAACTGTGGTAGAGCTGCTGTCTGAAAATCAGGCGCCACTTTCTTGGCACCATGATATGCCTGCTAAGTGCACCTCTAACCAGATCTTCATTAAACGACTCACCTCAAACTGGGGCAGAAACGTGATTTGGGTGGAGGCTCCTCCCAGGTCCAGGGTCCCAACAGTCTCCTGTCTGTGGCCATGCAGCTGACCTGTCAAATGAGAGCTAGCTCTAAATATCCTTCACAACCTGGGCAGCCCAACACTTGTCTCACTTGCTCTTATCACACACTGAAGGTATTCCATAAATATTCCACTGCTCCCCAGCCCCAAAGTTGCAAGTAAATGTCAACTCAGGACTCTCGTTGCAGCAGAGGCCTTGAAGCAGGTTATTTTTTTATTTTGAAGTCTCCTTTTTTGAGACAGTCTTGCTCTACTGTCCAGCCTGGAGTACAGTGGTGCAATCTTTGCTCTCAGCTCATTGCAACCTTTGCCCCCTGGGTTGAAGTGATTCTCCAACTTCCCAAGTAGCTGGGACCACAGGCACACACCACCACACCCAGCTAATTTTTGTATTTTTGGTAGAGACGGGTTTTTGCCATATTGGCCAGGCTGGTCTTGAACTCCTGGCCTCAAGTGATCTGCCCACCTCAGCCTCCCAAAGCACCGGAATTACAGGGATGAACCACCACACCCAGCCTCTTTTCCTTTTTTAAAGAAAAAGAAACAATACAGAATGAAAGAAAGCACTTTTCACTCTTCTGACTATGCATATAAAAAGCTAGTTAAGGTCTAAAGGTAAATTTGAGGATGTATTACCTGTCAGAAAATTCACAGTAACCCAAGCTAATATGCCTAAAAAGAAAGATAGACAAGATTACATCCCAGAGCATTTTTTTTTCCTCTTTCCTGACCTATCCTTGTTTTTTTTCTCTCTAAATTTCAAGTCTACAGCACATGTTTCCTTCTCCCTGTCTTCTGTTTCCTGCTTTCTCATTCCTCCTGTTTATTCCTTTCTCTTCAGGACCCTGTCCCTGGCCCCAGTTCCTCTGATTAGATCTTTCACTGACCCTGCCTCTCTCCCACTGGAACACATATCAACACTTCTCCCACCTTCATAGGATCCATCCATGATGCTAACACTGTCCTTTGGTACCAGAAAAGGTGACTTCCTGAAGATCTCCTTTACCTAGAGAAAAAGGAAAATTAAAAAAGGATTCCCTAAGGCAATAAAATAGATTTCCATATTTTGACAGCATCCTATAAGACTTAGAAAATGACTCCATTTTCCCTAGATAAAATTTTGGCAAAACTCATTCCTTTGCCCTAAGAAATGAGAGAAGAAACTAGGCCAGCCATTACCAATTTCTTGCAAAAACACAAACATAGGGATTCCTTTGACTTTAAGTAAAGCTAAATCAAACTATCTAAATATATAAGTGAACTGAACCTAGGGAAAGGCATACATTTAACCCTAGCTCAAACCAGGACCCTGTAACTTTCTAAACCTGATGAACTCTACCTGGACATACACTGGAAACTAGGAGGAGCCTTCCCACTCCATTCCTTAGATAAGCTGACATGAACCCACCGTGGTGAAGGAGTTCACACCTAAGGGCTGAGGCATCCTACTACCAGCTCCTGTCAGATTTTGGCACATGACTAGGGCCTCTAGAGTATGGGGAGACTCCAGATCTAGACTTAAGGAATCCTGTTTCAGGAGATGGGAATGAAAATCTTACAAAAACATCTTACATCTCCATAATATAGGCCACTGATATGGGTGTTATGTCTTATGTTTATATAATTATATAATTATCAAGGGAAAGAAAAAAGAATTCTCCAAATAGGAACAGGAAGAACTCTAGTCTGTTTGCTGTTCTCATGTCTGATGAGATGAAACATATCACATGACCACCTATGGACTGTTGCAACCAGGCAAAACCAGTTAAGAGATCTATAAACAAACTTTTAAAGAAAAGACAGATAAGTAAACAGGATGAAGCACAGCTAGAGAGTTTCTGCTCTTGCCTCCTCCACTTTTCTCCCCCATCCTTCAGTTTATTTTCAAAACAGCAGCCAGAATGGTGCTTTAAAAATGGATGTTGCCTGAGCACAGTGGCTCACGCCTGTAATCCCCCTGTAAAACTGAGGTCAGGAGTTTGAGACCAGCCTGGCCAACCTGGTAAAACCCCGTCTCTACTAAAAATACAAAAATTAGCTGGGTGTGGTGTAATTCTAGCTACTTGGGAGGCTGAGGCATGAGAAATCGCTTGAACTCGGGAGGCAGAAATTGCAGTGAGCCGAGATCGGGCCACTGCACTCCAGCAATGGAGTGAGACTTTTTTTTAAAAAAAAAAAAAAAGGCCGGGCGCGGTGGCTCACGCCTGTAATCCCAGCACTTTGGGAGGCCGAGGCGGGTGGATCACGAGGTCAAGAGATCGAGACCATCCTGGTCAAGATGGTGAAACCCCGCCTCTACT